TCATGGCAAATACTTAAAAATAACTCTATTTTGAAAAAAAAAAAAAACGCTTCAAAGTGGACCTGGTTTTTCGGTACTGACGGTTTCGCCCTACTTTTCAAATTTGAGCACACGCGCCTTCACAGGGAACTTTTGGAGCACGGCTCATGCACCCATTCTGGGCGAAATATATAATTTTCATCCCTCTACTACATGCTAGTGCCATGGCAAATACTTGGAAATAAATCTGTCTTGAGCAAAACCGCTCCGAAGTGGACCTGGTTTTTCCGTTTCGACGGTTTCGTCCCATTTTTAAAGTTTGAGCACCCGCGCCTTCACAGGGAACTTTTGGAGCACGGCTCATGCACCCATTCTGGGCGAAATATATAATTTTCATCCCTCTACTACATGCTAGTGCCATGGCAAATACTTGGAAATAAATCTGTCTTGAGAAAAACCGCTCCGAAGTGAACCTGTTTTTTCCGTTTCGACGGTTTCGTCCCATTTTTAAAGTTTGAGCACCCGCGCCTTCACAGGGAACTTTTGGAGCACGGCTCATGCACCCATTCTGGGCGAAATATATGATTTTCATCCCTCTACTACATGCTAGTGCCATGGCAAGTACTTGGAAATAAATCTGTCTTGAGAAAAACCGCTCCGAAGTGGACCTGGTTTTTCCGTTTCGACGGTTTCGTCCCATTTTTAAAGTTTGAGCACCCGCGCCTTCACAGGGAACTTTTGGAGCACGGCTCATGCACCCATTCTGGGCGAAATATATAATTTTAATCCCTCTACTACATGCTAGTGCCATGGCAAATACTTGGAAATAAATCTGTCTTGAGAAAAACCGCTCCGAAGTGGACCTGGTTTTTCCGTTTCGACGGTTTCGTCCCATTTTTAAAGTTTGAGCACCCGCGCCTTCACAGGGAACTTTTGGAGCACGGCTCATGCACCCATTCTGGGCGAAATATATAATTTTCATCCCTCTACTACATGCTAGTGCCATGGCAAATACTTGGAAATAAATCTGTCTTGAGAAAAACTGCTCCGAAGTGGACCTGGTTTTTCCGTTTCGACGGTTTCGTCCCATTTTTAAAGTTTGAGCACCCGCGCCTTCACAGGGAACTTTTGGAGCACGGCTCATGCACCCATTCTGGGCGAAATATATAATTTTCATCCCTCTACTACATGCTAGTGCCATGGCAAATACTTGGAAATAAATCTGTCTTGAGAAAAACTGCTACGAAGTGGACCTGGTTTTCCGTTTCGACGGTTTCGTCCCATTTTTAAAGTTTGAGCACCCGCGCCTTCACAGGGAACTTTTGGAGCACGGCTCATGCACCCATTCTGGGCGAAATATATAATTTTCATCCCTCTACTACATGCTAGTGCCATGGCAAATACTTGGAAATAAATCTGTCTTGAGAAAAACTGCTCCGAAGTGGACCTGGTTTTTCCATTTCGACGGTTTCGTCCCATTTTTAAAGTTTGAGCACCCGCGCCTTCACAGGGAACTTTTGGAGCACGGCTCATGCACCCATTCTGGGCGAAATATATAATTTTCATCCCTCTACTACAAGCTAGTGCCATGGCAAATACTTGGAAATAAATCTGTCTTGAGAAAAACTGCTCCGAAGTGGACCTGGTTTTTCCGTTTCGACGGTTTCGTCATATTTTTAAAGTTTGAGCACCCGCGCCTTCACAGTGAACTTTTGGAGCACGGCTCATGCACCCATTCTGGGCGAAATATATAATTTTCATCCCTCTACTACATGCTAGTGCCATGGCAAATACTTGGAAATAAATCTGTCTTGAGAAAAACCGCTCCGAAGTGGACCTGGTTTTTCAGTTTCGACGGTTTCGTCCCATTTTTAAAGTTTGAGCACCCGCGCCTTCACAGGGAACTTTTGGAGCACGGCTCATGCACCCATTCTGGGCGAAATATATAATTTTCATCCCTCTACTACATGCTAGTGCCATGGCAAATACTTGGAAATAAATATGTCTTGAGAAAAACCGCTCCGAAGTGGACCTGGTTTTTCCGTTTCGACGGTTTCGTCCCATTTTTAAAGTTTGAGCACCCGCGCCTTCACAGAGAACTTTTGGATCAGAGCTCATGCACCCATTTTGGGCGAAATATATCTTTTGCATCCCTCTACTACATGCTGGTGCCATGGAAAATACTTGGAAATAAATCTGTCTTGAGAAAAACCGCTCCGAAGTGGACCTGGTTTTTCCGTTTCGACGGTTTCGTCCCATTTTTAAAGTTTGAGCACCCGCGCCTTCACAGGGAACTTTTGGAGCACGGCTCATGCACCCATTTTGGGCGAAATATATCTTTTGCATCCCTCTACTACATGCTGGTGCCATGGCAAATACTTGGAAATAAATCTGTCTTGAGAAAAACCGCTCCGAAGTGGACCTGGTTTTTTCGTTTCGACGGTTTCGTCCCATTTTTAAAGTTTGAGCACCCGCGCCTTCACAGGGAACTTTTGGAGCAAGGCTCATGCACCCATTTTGGGCGAAATATATCTTTTGCATCCCTCTACTACATGCTGGTGCCATGGCAAATACTTGGAAATAAATCTGTCTTGAGAAAAACCGCTTCAAACTAGACCTGGTTTTTCCGTTTTGACGGCTTCGTCCAACTTTTCAAATATGGGCCTCCGCTCATCCACAAGGAACTTGTTTAGAACATTCGGGTCTTTAACTGGGAAAAATGATAAAATTTAAGTCCATCAAATCAATCACGGTACAACTGCATATCCTTGAAAATAAACCTCCTCGATGGGAAAGACGTTCGAGCGAGGACGTTACGTAGTTCTCATTTTCCAATGTTCTCCTCGCTGGATCGACCGACATGTTTTTTACTTGATATTTTGAATTTATGTGCTTGACGTGTCATGAAGAGACCATCAAGTACAGTCAGCTTCCTTGCCAAATAATCACTCAATATTCCCACTTTATTCGCCCGAAATGTAGCTTCGCCAAGGTCAATAATTTCTTAATGATTAATAACAATATTTCTGTACCTTTTCTTAGCCATGATAAAATTTCTAAATGAAAAAACAAATAGTTGCTTTCTTTGTTTGCTAGTTTAGTGATCCCAGCAGCAGAATGCAGGAAACGATTCTGAACAGCTGGCTGATCGATTATGCGCCTGGTTCGACAAACTGGTCTCAGGAACCCGAGCAAATTAGTTTGAGAGAAGACAGAGCGTACACTACGCTTCCTGGATGTTTTTGCCTTGTCGCAGTTATATGGCAAATCTCGTATCTTTCTGTATTTTTAAATTAGGGAGGTTTAAAAATCACTTTGTGTGGCACATTTGGGAGAGGTGCCCCAGAAGGATGTTTTTTCTACGCATTACAAAGTATCATACAAATCACGAAACTTTGTCATATGATTGGGGGAGGGTTGTATTTATAATATAAAATTAAAATTTATTTCACTCACCTAATAATATATTTTAAAAACCGATCAAACCTGATACCACCCATAGTGGCTATGCATCAAATAATTTACTCGAATGAGGAACCTGCAGTTTATGCGCTGTAATCTTGACTTTTTTGCGGAAGGATTGGATCGTGTCAGAGATTGGACGGGTAGCATGGCAAATCTGAAAAAATGTGATGTTGAGCAAATATTGCCGTATTTCTATATTTAATACATTGCTTCTATGGGAGCGTTGCCATAATCCGCCAAGAGATGGCGCTAGCATGCGATGGCACAGATTTCTGGGGATGAAAGAAATTAGTCTAACGTGTCTCATAATTCAACCCCGTCCCCCCCCCCCCCCAAATCAATAAATATTCATCTTAAACTGCAAATTCTTGGACACGAAGCGCGCGATTAGAAGCGTAAACGCTGACGTCTTGCTCGTGTGCAATACGAGCCAGCGCACTAGATCACTTCATTTGTGGAACTTCCGCCATGGGGGGGGGGGGGGGGGGGGGGGGAGGTAGATTTATTTACTTCAGTCCGCCTTCCGTCGTTTGAAGCACCATCTAGAGTTTCGTTTCAAAACTTCGTGTCCCGTAGAATGCACTGCAGTTAATATAGCAACCCGTCCGATGTGTCGGACGACAGGAGGCCACCTCGGAGCCAAATGAGCGACCGGATTGTGCCCCCCCCCCCCCCCCCCCCCCCCCCCGGTTTTCTCTTTTTCTGTGGCGCCATCTATGTGGAGCACCGCGAACTCTCACTCTGGGTGAGCGACCGGTGGCGACCGGTGGCGACCGGCTAAACTGACGGAGATGGTTTCTCGTGGATTTTCAGTGGAGGACTGTCGTGCTCTCGGTTTATTTTCCGCACTCTCCCATAGAGTTCCACGCAAATCCGATTCCGATTTTTTTCTTCTCGCCGCAGCGCCATCTGTCGCAAGTCGGGGTACCCGCAAGCAGACGAGTACACAATCCGGTCACGGCGCTGCGGTAGGCTTCTATGGGCCGTTTCCCCACCTGCCTATCTTACACCCTGAATCCGACTTTCTGTCCTTTAGATACGGCACCAGTTAGCTCGAGCGATAGTATTGTTATTTTTTTTCTCTGGGAGTCTTACCATTTATAGAGGATGTTAGACTATTTCCTACAAATTCAAACAACGAGTTCGATAACTGGCATCGATGATGGTAAACAAAAGATGGCTGAAGCATCGCTACTCTAAAGCGTTATAAATTTATTGGCCCTGCCCTACTGAAAAAAACAAAACAAAAAACCTTTTGATATCTGGATCATGGAACTGGAAATCTATCTGAATTATATTTAAAATTTAAAATTTTCAGATTTTTTTTAGGTCTGCATTCTGGATTTTATGATTCCAAAAACAATTAGTTAGTTTTTCTGTTTCATAATCCACATAGTGAAAGGTTGACTTTTTAGTGCGCGCGTTGGTAATGATGTAGGTTTAGAAAGATTTATATACATAAAGACAGGGGACGGGACAACACATCAGGTTGTACTGGGTGTTTTGGTAAGGAGGTGAGGCCAAACAAATTGCGGGACACATATCGTTGTTTTCAGAACGTGCGAGACCTAACCCCGCAGAGTTTGTGGAAAGCAATAGCGCCCGATCCCGGTTGGGGCCCACTGGATGCCGAGCTGGGCTTTGACTACAACGACCGGCTGCGGACCCTGCTCGCCACGATGGCGGGGAAGGACCAGGACGTGCCTGCCAGCCTCGCTCCGCAGCGCGTTGTTGCCAGGACCAGGAGAACAACCGGGACTTCGGGACACGTCCTACCTTCGGCAACTGGTGTCAGCAACGTGGCTGACAGTTGGGTGTCTCATTGAAGGCCGGTTCGTGTATCTTAGTTTGAGTGCGACTGAGGGCGTTGCTCTCGCTTGAGACTCCGGGTGACGCGAGCCTGTTAAAATTTGAGTTCTCGCACTTATAACGCGAGGTTTTGATTTAAGTCTGAATGAAATTCAACTTCTTTGCGCATGCGTAAAAATTAAAAAAAAAACGAATTGACGTTTTTTTGGCGCATAGAAAATACCATAATTCGTTTTTTTTTGTTTCACTGTTTTACACTAATAAACTAACTAAAGCATTAAACGTGCTTATGCTTGCTTTCACATTGTGTAGCCAATGCTAATTATTTTATTAAATATAAGATAAACTAAATTATAATTTATGTGTTTTCCATTTCTAGATTGCTAGTTTTGCGTGGAAGTCAGGTACTATTGTCCACAAGTCGAACTTCATCAAATTTCGCTCAACAATTAAAAGGTTTGGAAAATCAGTTGAACGTATAACCTCAGGTTAGAAAAAAGTTTGCGACGTCTTTACGTGTGACCGCTTACGCCGAGATAACAAACGGCACGCTGATATCACTTGCCGTGTATCCCTGGAACATTTCCGACCTGGGTATACTACATTTCCTAATTTTCTTACGGCTCATGCTACCATCGTCGGCTAGAAATGATTCCTACAATCATATACACAGGCAGCACAGACACGTTGAAAAGACGTCGAAAGAGCGTTCGATGACGTCAGGAACCACATGTCGAAAGAACGTTAAAAGTATGAACGTCAGGTCCCTTTGACGTAATATGGAGAGCCTAATGTCTGGAAAAAATGGTGGATTTTGCGTCGACATAACGTCCCACTTAACGACCTTAAAACGTCGAGCGCACGTCTGAATTGGACGGGAAGTCAAGTGATAGCGTTAATAAACGTTGACACAATGTCCCATTTAACGACCATAAAACGTCGAGTATAGGTCTAAACTGAACGGGATGTCAATTGATAACGTTATATTAACATTGACATAACGTCCCATTTAACAACATAAAACGCCGAGCACACGTCTAAACTGAACGGGATGTCAATTGATAACAGTCTCGACCTTGGTCACCATGGAACAATAGTCAACCGAATCTGGCTTCGTTGCTCGAAGGTATGTTCTCGAAAGCACGTATATTCGGACGGATTGGACCATTTTTTTTAATCCGCCAAGCCCCCCGGCCCTCACTCCAGGAATCATGGGAATGGTGTTCCTTCAGCTCCCTAGTGGGCGGTAATTTCGGCCGCTTCCATGGTTACACAGTTAAGGCAGGGTTGCCAGGTGTTTGAACTCCAACCCGCCAAACGTCTACGACATATAGCCCAAAAATAGCCAAATGTCGATCCACAAAAATAGCCCAAAAATAGCCAAAAAATAAAAACTTGTCATTTGAAACGTTTATTTTGAGCAGAAAAGACATAGAATACATTTTTGTCTATCAAATGCCCCAGAAATGCCATCCCTTGCACGTTCGGCGAACTTCCTGAAACGCTCGTACAAGCGCATGACAACATACCTTCCACTGTATTGGGGACCAGAATGACGTCACGGGAGAACTATCCAGAATTCAGACAACCTAAAGAATGCGCAGAATAGGTGCTGTTAAGGCCGCAAGGAAACGCGCCGTCACTTGTTGAGATGGAGGAATAGCAGTAAAAACAGCACATGCTTGCATTCGGACAAAATTCGGAGGTAAACAATTGCACAAGGCGCTCAAAAAGAAGACGAATTTGTTTGCTGTCGCAAACTTATCAGGGTTAAAGGACTGAAGCGCCAAATGTTCACGTAAATTACCCTAAAAATACATTCGAACCTCTAGACGATTGCAAACAGGGTGACTGGCCGCCGCCATGTTTCTGCTCGTACAGGCGCGCCCTTGCAATTGCAATATTGTCAAAGCTACATCCACGCGCACGCTGCACGGGCTTCCACGAATGGGCACCAGTCGGAGCTCCATGCTTGCAAATGTCTATAAACCCAAGTGCTTTCAGGCATTTTGGTTCCATCCCAGATCAGAAATTGCTCAATGCACTGGTCAGAAATAGCCCAATGCACAGGTCAGAAATAGCCCAATACTAGCCAAATAGCCAACTACCATTTTTTCCCGCCAACTGCAAATAAAACTAGCCCAATTTGGCTATTTATAGCCCAACCTGGTAACCCTAGTTATGGGTGTAATCCGGAGTCGTCCTAAACAAGCGTACTATAGTGCCCAGTGACCTGCCATATCACTTTTAAGTTTTCTCGCCAATGTCAGTGTTTCCGATACTGTGCATGGTGTCCACCCTTCAACCTGGCTGAGCTACAGAAATCTCTTACATTATTTCCTTATCTTACAGCTTTAAAGACGCTGATATTAAGTTAGAAACGCTAAAAATGGAGCTAAATCCTGGTATTTGTTGTGAATTTTCGCCTTTTAAGCAATTTCTTCTAAAAAAATCACAAGAATGATAATATCAGTAATTAAACACGAGAAAGATACATGGAAAGGGGGGACGGACAACGAAGACTTCGTTGTCCGTCCCCTTTTCCGTTATGGAAGTCTTCGTTGTCTGTTCCCCCTTTTTATGTATCTTCCACATGTTTAATTACTCTTACCAACATGCTCGTTTTGTACTTAAATGATAATATCGTAAGAGATTTCTGCAGCTCAGCCAGGTTAAAAGATGGATCACATGCACAGTTTAAGAAATGCTTATATTGACGAGAAATGCTAAAATTTATGTGACAGGACCTTGGGCCCTCTAAGGCGCTTGTTCAGGTTGATCAAGGTGTTGCTCAGACATTGTTAGGGCGTCTCGTGCTCAACGTTTAAAAAATTCCCCGAAGAACGGCGAAGAACTGACGTCCAAAAATGTCGATGACGTCAAGGCGTTGCTCAGGACATTGTTGGTACGTCTCGTGCTCCACGTTCAAAGAACTTCCCGGAGAAAACGTAGAACTGACGTCTATTAATGCCAATGACGTCAAGGTGTTGCTCAGACATGATTGGGACGTCTGGAGTACAGCGTTCAAAGAACCTCCCGAAAAACAACGTTGAACTGACGTCGAATAATGTCGATGACCTCAAGGTGTTGCCCACGACATAGTTGGTACGTCTCGTACTCCACGTTCAATGAACTTCCCCGAGAAAACGTAGAACTGACATCTATTAATGCCAATGACGTCAAGGTGTTGCTCAGACATTGTTGTGCCGTCCCGCGCTCAACGTTCGAAGAACCTCTCGAAAAAAACGTAGACCTGACGTCAAATAATGTCGATGACGTCAATCTGTTGCTCAAGACATTGTTGGGACGTCTCGTGCTCGACGTTCAAATAACTTCCCCAAAAAAACGTAGAGCTGACGTCGATTAATGTCGAAGACATCAAGGTGTTGCTCAGGACACTGTTGTGACATCTCGTATTCGACGTTCAAAGAACTTCTGATACAAGACGTCGAACAAACTTCGACTCCTGTTTGAAGGCGTCGAGGTGGAGCTTATGACGTCGTCACTACGCAGCGTGTTTGACGTTGTCGGGACCTCTCATGTGGACGTACCAATGCCGTCGATAAAACGTTTGTTAAGGACTTCGACGTCGCCCAACGTCCAGGACCTTATTTCGACCTCATTAAACGTCTTGTCCTACCTGGGTAGCGAGCACTTCTCATTGATGGCGCGCAGATTTGATCCTGCAAATACCGCAAGAATTTCATTCTATAAGCATGGGCGTATCGGAAGCGTTCTATTACTACTTGCAGTGATAAACTGCGCCAGTACGAGAGTGTGTTCTCAAGTGGTCGCAAGAGAACATAACGCACTCGGTTAAAAGGCCGCTCAAATAACTTGAGACAGGTTAGGACATGTGCCTCAAGAGCTCTTGCGACAAGGCAATGACACTCTGGCGCCATGCACGCGGAGACTCTGTAAGTGTGCTGCACAAGAGCGAAGATTTGACAGTATTTTCGAGCGCAAATGTGCGTTCTAGGTGTGAGAAATGATTGTTTCTATCATTTACGAACGTTAAATACTTTCGGCAGTTTGCATAACATTCAGTTAACCGTCCTGAAAATGTTCATTCCTTTTGCCTCTAAAAATGCCTTTACTAGAAGTGTTTCAATGTGCTATTAAAAAAAAAAAGAAATTTAAATCCCAGGCCAGACCAATGCTATTTTAACACGTTTTAGTACGTCTTGTCCTGAGACTTTAGTGTATAAATGCTGGTTTTTCGGTGTTGACATCATATGCACGAAAAGAAAGCGACATGCAGATACTACTACCACTCTCAGGAAACCCAACAATGGTCCATAGCGCACACGTCAACTCGACTTTACAAAAACCTGGTAGGACATCAAACAGCTTGGTTTGTATCACCGTTCGAAGAAAAGTCTCCGACTGATTGCATATAAACATGAAACGAGAAACGACTTGACGAATAAATAAATGACAGAGTCCTACGCCGTCCGCTGTGGGCGGAAGAAAAACATTCCCTCGGCTTGTTCTTTCCAATCGAGACGCCAAGGTAAACACTGGAACAAACGCGGTTGATACGTTGAATATTGACTCGCGAACAATGTGTAACTTGGAGCATATACCATAGATTTGATATAAAAAAAGAAATTACAGATTTCGCTCGAGCAAACATGGAAACATCCTTCCCCACATGCTGTTCAGCTGATGCTTTCAGTTTAACAGTTTCCTCCCCCCAATACCCGGCAGTATCGCGGTAATGTTCAAAGGGAACGCCCAGGTACCTGAGTGGCACAATAGACCATCAAACATTTGCAAAGAAACTTGGCGCAGTTGCCCACTTGCCGTGCCAAAGCCAGTAGCATTTAGACCAGCAGACGGCACACACAATGAGGTCGCAAAACCTCCTCGTTACTGCAACGGCTTTCGAAACGCTCTGAGCGTCTGAACAAAAAATTGCTAAGTCATCTGCGCATGACAGAAGCTTAACTTCACTTTCATTGAGAATGAGTACTTTATGCCTGCACACTGCTTGAAATATTGGCAATAAGGCTCCAAAATAGATTGCGAAAAGCAGTGAAGATAAGGGGAACATTGCCACACCGATGAACGGCATTTAAATGAGAACCAACCTCTTTATTAACAATAAGCTTTGTTGCGCAATTTAGGTGGGCCATCTTTACGCCACTGTGAATCGCTGAACCAACTCCAATGTATTATAA